TTACTGTCTGTGTGCGTGGATGAGCCGGACGGTTGTACCGGACTGCGCTCCCGGTTGGCTAGAGAGTTTTGTAAGTAGGGAGGGGCGGGCGCTCTATTTGACTGGCCAATCACAGAGAGTGAAGACAGTCAGTGACCCAATGAAGATTTTCCTTCAGCACGATTACAGATAATGACTCGTTTTACTCATTTCATGCTCGTATTCGTCAAAATACTCGTCTGAAACGAGTATCCGGCTCATCCCTAATAAATAATACACAATATTATTAATAATAGGTCTGGATGTGGTTTGGCCTGAGGTACAGTATAAATCGCTGCCCTGGGCCTAAAGCCCTGCAGATAGATTTAGTTTCTATAAAAAACAAATAAACAACAGCAGCTGGATTCCACTTTGTTCCTTAAATTGAGTCACGTAGTTTTGCAAGTTGTGTACGCTCACACGTTCACCAGCGAGCTCTGCCAGCTGATTGGTTCTTTAGTAACTAGTGACATTCGGTCACAGGCTCTCTCTGGCAGAGGCCTCAGAAAAGAGGACGGCGCTCAGGTGTGCTTGTCAGGATCAGAGCTTATCAGCGGTCTTGCGGAGGATTGTCCGGAAAATTAAGCCGTCGATGGATCCAGCCGATCTTCCTAGGAGACCAGGAATCACCGTCGTATCAGATGACGGGAGCTTTTCGGCCGAGGGAAGCCGCGTCACGGGACGACGCGGCGTGATCTTTTTGAATCTCCGCTCCTTTCCCAGATTCCAAGCAGATGCAAAGGGTTCTACAGTTAAGATGTCAGCTCAATTCCAGATCCCTGGAAAATAAAACTTTTATTCTAAGTGACTCTTTAAAACGCATCAGCTGGGAATCATGTGCTTGTGTGAAACGTGGATCCAGGGAGAGTCTGTGTCACTTATTCCTCCAAATTGCTTTCTTTGAATACCCCTCGGACTCCAGGGAGGGGTGGAGGGTTGGCTACAGTGCACAGGAACTGCTTTCGTTGCCACAAACTCCCTCAACCTAGTACCTTCTGTACTTTTGAACTCCAACTCTTTGAGCTTCGGCTGCCTCCGACAGTGCTTTGTGCCCTTATCTACCGCCCTCCCAAAATGAACAATACATTTATTAGAGAGTTCTCTGACTTTGTAGCCGGAGTTGCTCTCGAGAATGATATGTTTTTGATTGTTGGTGATTTTTAATATTCATTTATGTTGTGAGGCCAAACCCTTGGTTAAGGAGTTTTTAAACATCATTTAACCTAATTCAGTGGGTTACTGGTCCAACTCATGAAAAAGGTCATACGCTGGATTTAGTTTTGTCGCATGGTTTAGGTGTAAGCATTACATACATTCTCGATCAGGGTATTTCTGACCATTTTCCAGTCCATTTTACATTGGAATTACACGACTCAGTGGAGAGAACTGCAATGCAAGGACAGAGAGGATTTTTTAATGACGTGACTGTCTCTGATTTTTCTGCTGAATTCTCGGCTGTTGATTTTATGGACTCAACTTCTGTCAACGACTTAGCTGATTTTTTAAATTCTACTCGCTTAAACATCCTTGATGATGTGGCTCCCCTGAAAGCTGTGCGGTATAATATAAAAAAATCTGGAACCATGGCTGAATGAAACCACACACCTGTAGACGGGAGGGCAGGCGTGCTGAAAGGAAGTGGAAGAAGGACAACTACATGTCTCTCTACTTGCATCGCGAGACTGTCGGACTGTTTATCAGAACTGTGTGAAACGGGCAAAATATGAGTTCATGTGCAACCTTGTTTCCACCAATAGTCACAGAGCACAGGTTTTGTTTAGTGCTTTTAACAGTATTGTGAACCCCGGCATTGGAAGTAGTTGTATACCTTCTCAGGAATTGTGACCGCTTTTTGTCTTTTTTTGTCGGAAAGATTTCACAGATTAGATCTTCCGTTTTAACATCCTCTACCATAGATCCAAGTTCTTATCCAGATTGTTTAACATCTTGGTGTCAGTTTCAACCTGTCTCCTTAGAGGAGTTATCAGACATTGTCCATCGTTTAAAACCTTCAGCCTGTCCACTTGATGTTATTCCACCTCGTATGTTTAAGCAGGCCTTTGACCGTGTTGCTTCAGCGGTGCACAGACTAATGAACTGTTCCCTTCTCTCAGGGTTTGCTTTAAACAGGTTAAAGTGAATCCCCTTTTAAAGAAGCCAAGCCTGGATGCAACTTGTCTATCTAATTACAGACCTATTTCCAAACTTAGTTTCTTATCAAAAGTTCTGGAGAAAGTTGTTCACGCACAGCTACATGATTATCTGTTCATACATCACATTTCAGACAAATTTCAGTCAGGGTTTAAGGCGCGGCATAGCACTGAAAGTGCACTTCTACGAGTGGTGAATGACATTAATGATCACTGATTCTGGCAACTCAGCTGCTTTAATGCTGCTAGACTTATCTGCTGCTTTTGACACCACTGATCATGATGTTCTATTGTCTCGATTAGAGTCTTGTGTTGGTATAAGGGGCACAGTGCTTGATTGGTTTCAGTCTTATCTACAGGACAGGTCCTTTTCTGTGAACTTGGGAACTTTTACATCACCACCAGCACCTGTGACTTGTGGTGTTCCACAAGGTTTCATTTTAGGGCCAACACTTTTCTCACTGTATATTTTACCATTGTCCTCTATCTTCACCAGACACATCATTACTTTTCATTTCTTTGCTGATGACCTTCAGATATATCTCCCACTCATCCCGAATTCAGCTGTTTCCTTAATGGCCTGCTTAGCTGATTTGAAGCAACGGATGTCAATTAATTTTATGAAATTGAACGACCTGAAGACAGAGATTTTAGTTTTTGGCAGTGGAGACCTGTGAAAGGGTGCGGTGAGCCCACTTGGTTCCCTTTCGGATTTTGTAAAGCCTTATGTGAAAAACCTGGTTTTTTTTAAGGATGGTTTGTTTAAATTGGACAGACAGATAAGTGCAGTGGTCCAGTCTGGTTTTTATCACTTGAGGCAACTTGCAAATGTTAAGTGCTATTAGCCGGAAACTGTTTTTGAACATGTTATTCATTTCTTTGTCTCCTGTCGACTAGATTACTGCAATTCCCTGTACTATAGATTAGGGCATTCCTCCTTAAACCACTTGCAACTGGTGCAAAATGCAGCAGCCCGCCTTTTAACAGGTACAAGGAAGCATGATCACATCACTCCAGTGCTCGCTTCCCTTCACTGGCTGCCAGTGCATTACAGCACCAGCCTGATGCTTTTAAATATAAAATGTCCAAAATGTTCTAGTGGGGGGACATGCCCCGGGAGCCCCCTAGAGTAGTGACACTGGTGATAATTATTTATTTATTATAAAAACAATAATTTAACTCAGCTTCGGGTGGCAGGAGTTGGGTACTCATTCTTAGTGAGGTGGTCATGGTACTGACCAGCATCTGACTCAGGGAAGCTGTGGCTCACCTCGATGTGTTGGTGGTTGGTAGGAACAGGTACAAACTGAGGCAGCCTCTTGCTCAGCCACATGGTTACATCCCGGTCCATGTTGACGGCAAAAGGTTCATAGCCTTCCTGCAGGCCGCAGATGGTGAAGTACTTCAGAGTGCTCACATCTTTACCAAAGTTCATCCTCCCTCTCTGACACACTCCTAGACTGCACACTGGGATGAAACCTGGAAGACAATGACACAAACATGATCAGTTCAAATGTGGGTCTTTTTGTAACAAACTATAAACAGAAAACTTGTCACATTCCAAACATTTGGTTGGACTTTAATGTAAAAGTGACCCCCCCTCCTTTTCATTATAGCCCTTTTAACTAGTGTAATGTTTGGTAAATGGTTACAATTAATAAACTGTCAATGAAAAATGTAAGGTATTCAATAAGATGTAATGTTCCACAAAAATATGAAACATTAATATGATTTAAACATTTAATATCCCATTAAGCACCTGCCCGTTTTGTCCCAAGTGCCCAAAGTGCCCTTTTTCTGGTCTTCCGTCAGGTTTTACGGTCCAAAACTGTCGTACTTGAATACAGGTCAGGCACTAGGACCATGCGGAGGCAGCCACCTTCAACTGAAGCCTATAGGGAGCCTAAGTCTCCTCCCTATATGGTCGGCTCTTGGGTCTCCGGAAGAACGAAAAAATGAATGCAAGTCAATGGGGCTAAAAGAGCTATTTTCTAATCCACTTTGCCTTATGCCCTGGATCACGCGTATGTTGTACTGCTATGTAAATGAAAAGTAGTCACGTTCTTTGAGATTCATTAGCTTGTAAAAGTTAGTAACTAGCATGACTACAAACCAGACATCGGCACGTCGCATACGTGACGCCATCACAGAATGTCCTCTCTCCTAGCCTAGCGTAGCTGCTACTTACCACATGGCCAGATTTATGGTGCTTCTTTCCTCCTATGGGAAGGATTTGAAGTTTGCTGAACTTACAGCCATTTTCCTTCTGTTTTCTACGTGTCTGGTTTGATGACGTCACTTTCATGAAGCCCATTTGTAGTCCCGGACTTATTTTCACACAACACCTAAAATAATGTTTCCCCTCATTCAAAAACAAGCATATTCTTGGTATCAAAATGCATCTTTAAAATCCACAGACATCCTACGTGAAATCCATGGCACATAACAAGCGGAATAAGAAAATAGTGTTTTTAGCCCCATTGACACACATCTTTTTGTTTTTCTGAGGACCCCATGGTCCGGAAGTAGACGAGCATGACAAAGAGGGACTGCACACCATCAGAAAATGTAACTCCAACCCTAGTCAAGATCTGAAAAATGCTATGAAAGTGGGTGTTGCCAGGAGGCACGGAGTGGCATGGCCAGGTGTGGGGAATTTCCATCCTGGGAGGGAGGGGGAGTGGGAGGAGACTGTACCAATAACGTGAAATTGTACCAGCCCCAGCCAATCACAACTTTAAAATGCAGTAGCCACTGTTCTGCCACAGGGGGCAGCACTGAGACGCTTTTAGACCTAGATTCTAGATTTAATTAAGTTTACACAAGCATGTCAAAAAAAGCACAGAAACACAAAGATTGCATTTGTAAAGACCCAATTACACAGTTTATTAGCAAAAAAAAAAAACAAGTTATTTGGGGGTTTAGTTATTCTTTAAACTCCCCATTTTCCCTTAGACCTGCCCACAAGCTCACTGATTGGCTCTGCCGCGTCATGCTAACCTGTGATTGTCTGTCCCCACTGTTGTTCTAACTTGCTGCCATGGAGACAACAGTCGACAGGAGTCATCTACCTCTGAGTTTTGATTCTGCCTGCATCACGTCAGCTGGATGGATTTTAATATCAGAGCTTTTAATTACATTAACATTTGAATCAGTCTGCGTGTGTGTGTGTGTGTGTGTGTGCATGCGTGTGTGTGTGTGTGTGTGTGTGTGTGTGGCAAGTTCAGGTAGCAGCATGTCTGAAACACAAAAGTGGGCATGAGAGAGACTTCTTCTGAAGTGAAGTTAGAGAAACTCACACAACAAAGAATCATAGACGTTCATTTGTCACCCTAGATACTCTGCATCATAACTTGAATGGCTGATCGAAACAATTCTAATGGTTTCCAAAAATACATAAAGCGAGCTTTCAAATGAAGGATTACATGATGTAAGTCACGTTACTCCACATTGCTGTTAGAGGGAAACCAGCCTTTCAGCATCACAGAAAGAAATGGAGCTAACCGCGACGAGAGTGGAGAACGACACAGAGGAGATAGATAGAAGCTTTTATAAAATTATGGAAACATCACAAAGAAAATCTACCTGGTTGATCAGGTGTCCCAGAAGGCTGTTTCTGTAGATGGTGACATGAGGAGGGTCAGATTACAATTAAACCTGTTTTTATTCAAACACTCTACTATCTCTCTACTCTACGACCTTCAGATACATCAGAAGTCCACTCACTCGCTTTGAGAGACGGCTCCACCTGCAGACCGGATCCCTAAGAGCTTCCATGACCCAGGGTGTGTAGCGTGATCAATGGCGTCAGAGTGGTTGGTATAAATGTGATAAATTCAACAAACATCCAAATGTGAGTTATAACCCAGACATCACACCTTCTGAGTCACTTAGAAATCTCTTAAACGCACCGGGTCATGTTGCATCACAGTTCATTCACTGTCTCATTTAATGTCACTGTATCACCATTTATAATCATTAGCCTTTCATCGTCATTAATATAGTAATAAATAGATTTTTATTTACTATATTTCCCTGGATTAACCAGAAGTGTGTGTGAAAGCCAAAGTGAGCGACACACACAGCGTGCATCCGATCGCCGTGAGAGGGGGTGGGGGTGTTACGGGCGCGAAATGCTAGGACTAATTATTACATTAACGTGAAAAGACCTGTAATTATTGGTGGGAACAAATCTAAAAGAGGAGAAAAGCAAACAGCGCTACAGGAAAGTGAGGACACAGGATGGTATGAAGTCATTTCCTGTCATGTTCGTAAATATCACTAACTGTTGTGAATAATGTGCTTCAGTTGAACCTGGATTCGAGGAAAATCATGAATTGGAACAGAAATCTCAATTTCTGCAAGAAAAACTAACACAATTCAATATTTTCCTGAAATCATTCAGTCCCAGAAAAATAAAGATGTTTACATAAAATATTCAACATGTCAGTTTTTGTCGGTTCTTTACTGAAAGTAGTTAATTAAGGAATAGCATAAAATGGCAGGGCCGCACTTCAAATATATTTCCTACGGTTTTTAAAAACAATTATTTTTCAATAATTATCTATATCGATCAATATGATTTTCTTTTAATCAATATGCTTATTTTCTACATCGTCCAGCCCTACTCTCCACCCCAGTTGGACACATCGTAGTTTTATAGAGAAATTATTATTTAGAAACATTATGTTTGCATTTTTAAAACATATGGGGAGATTTGTCTACCCAGCTGTGTCTCAGGGCTTTATCCAAGAATACAAAATGGCGGATTGGCTCTGTGTATAGCATATATATAGCATATTTGGCAAAACTAAACAGCTTAAAATGTAAGACCGAAACTTTATTATAGAACTTCTAATTATCGCCTGAAGTTACTGGTTTGATTCTTTTGCACACCTGGAGACCTAAAATACACATCACGTTGTATTTGAAGACTAAAAAAGTCATGTCTCCTTTAAGGTAATGGTGCCCAAAGCCACAGCGAACAAGAGACCATATGAGGGTTTGAAGGAAGATGATGAAGGCCGTGGAAGCAGCAAAGGTCATCATAATGGCCTTTAGCATTAATAACAACCCATTCAGATTACACCGACAAAACAAGTACATGATCCTTTTGATTACAAGAAGGAAAGAAACAGAGCTCTCCAGATAAAAACCACAAGGCGCTTCACATGAACAAACATTTAAATAATAGAAAGATTTTTTTTAAATTATTAAAAGTGTATAAAAATGAAAAAAAAAAACTGTGATTAAAAAATGTGAGGAAAGGGAAAAAGAAAATGAATAAGAAAGAGCAGAATAGGAGAGGGTGGTGTTGAAGGTCACGCAAAAGCCAGCCTGAACAGGTGAGTCTTCAGCTGCTCTTTAAAGGAGACCACTGAGTCCACTGGTCTCAGGCTCAGGGGGAGAGAGCTCCAGACTGTAGCTGTAAAGAATATCAAACCGACCCTAGGGGCTGTATCAACTAGTCGACTAGTTGACTTCACTGCTCTGTAGGGACTTTTTACGCCTGTCATCGACTAGTCGCTGTCACTTGATAATGACCGACAAGATGCAGTCCTCCAAAAAGACAGCAGGTGACGAGCCCCTGTGTGTCGGGAGGCAACGCGCTGTGCCCGAGCGTCGGTACTGACACCCGCCGTAAAACAGACATTCGACCGAATTGTGACCTTTACCCTCTTGCAATGTAACCTTCCCCTCACCCCCATCCTAACCTTAACCAGCTTGCGCATGCAAAGCTCTGAACGTTGACACGCTCCAGACATCTGCGTCCTGAGCATGGCCACAGTAATATTATCAAATCAGGTGTCGCCACCTCAAAAACTAATTTAACACGCGATCGTTCATGTCGCCTCATTTCCTTTTATGTTTTCTGTCTTTTATTTGTGCCTGATGCGTTTCGCTGCTGTGGAGGGGAGCGCATCACCTGTTTTGTCCTCCGGTGACGCACCTCATCGGTGCGGCCGGCGAGCACTCCGCTGTTTTAGCGGTCGGTAGATCTTTTAGAACTGCAGTTCAAAGGTAACTCATGAGGTGAATATATATGAACCCAGGTAGCAGTTTCTCTTTAGGATTGAGAGGAGATGCAGGAAGATCATAAACAGGCAGGACAGAAAAATAGTCAAATAAAAACAAGTTAGTTTTTGTACCTGCTGGTTGCAACAAACAGACACCACTGAAGGTAATCAGAAGTGAGGAACAGAAAATGAAATAATTATTTTAATGTTTGGAGCAGCAGGAACTCTGAGAGGCTGCAGGAACATCAGTGAGTTTGCGGCCGTTGTATGACGTCATCAACAACTAGTCGAAGTTACTCGATTTTCATTACTTGACGGTCGACTTTAAAGACAATGGTAACACTTTAGTTTAGGGAACACAAATTAACCATTAATTAGCTGCCAATTAACATGCACATTAGTGGACTACTACGTCTGAATTAGTCATTATTAAGCTATTATTAGGTGCTTTTTACCAATGCCGTAATTCTAACATTAACAAGCCATAAATTGAGTTTTATCAAAATAAGCCATTCATAATGGTTTGTTAACTGAAATCAAGTGTTTGTTGCTGATTAACACACATACTAATTAGCTCAATTCAATATGTGGCTTTTAACGAGGTAATTCAAGGGGAATGGTTATTCTGCATTAATCAATAATATGTTCTAGTATTATGTAAATAAACATCAAACTCCACATGTTCATAGATCCTAAACAACAATCAATGAACCACTTGTAAGCAAGAACATGTTCCCCATTCTAAAGTCAGATTTTGCTCATACCTAATTACTAGTAGTTTAGTGTTAATTAACCACGTACAGGCAATAATATGTTCCCCTTGAATTACTTCGTTAAAAGCCACATATTGAATCTAGCTACTAAATTTATGCGTTAATCAGCAACAAACCAATAACTTTCAATTAACAAACCATTATGACTGGCTTACTTCGATAAAACTCTTAATTTATGGCCTGTTAATGTTCGAATTACAGCATTAATAATAAGATGTTAATAAGTGCTTAATAATGACTAGTTCAGACTTAGTAGTCCACTAATATGCATATTAATCTGCAGCTAATTAATGGTTAATTTGTGTTCCCTAAACTAAAGTGCTACCAAAAAAATTAAGTCATGCAGCCCCTAACCCACCCTAGAGGTGTTGTTTGGAGAGGCCGAGCAAGAGACTAAGAAGATTGGTGATAGATTGGACCTACAGGCCTTCCTGCTGTCCCCGTCTCAGCTGACCCTAGCTTTTGGTGACGACAGAAGTGTGATGCTTTGCCACTTCTTTGAGTGCCCAGGCATCTTCTACTCCTTAAGAAGGAGCGTTCTCCATGGCAGGAGAATACGTTAGTGTGGAGCAATTAATAATCCTCCCGGAGGAGGCACAACTACTGGTGTTGAAGTTCAGTGGACTCTAACAGGCTTCCGATCACCTCAGTCTTATCCAGACACAGAATTCTGAGGAAAAATAAAAATCGAGACTGTGTGCATTTAATTTTTGCCTCCTATTGAACTACTGGAGTATTAATAAGGAACTAGACGGACAGACAGAGTCGATAATGCCATTCAAATATATAAACGCTTACCAATTCCCAAGCTTAGAACGAGATGGGAGTTTATATTTGACCAACTACTCACTAATGGTGCCCACTTTGAGACCAAATTCGAGGTCATTAAATTCTTCTGGGTTAATACCTTCACTGGCTTCAAAGTCTTTGAAGGCCAGTTCAGAACCAGAGTCGTCCAGCAACACTTCTCCATTAAGAGTGAACATCATTGTGTGCTCGTTTAGATCCACCATGCAGCCCACCACGTCCCCGGTCTGCCAGCCACGCCCAAAGTGCTCATTGCCCTGGTGCCAGCGCTGGACCTGGGAAACACAGAACGCCATGACTTGTCTCATAAAACCAACACAGATGGAATAATGTCTAGCTTTGTTTAACTTAGACAGACAGACAGACAGACAGACAGACACCTTGAAGCCATCAAAGACGAAGGCTTGGTCATCAGATCCCAGGTCCTGATCAGGAAGACATCCTGGCCTCGCCCAGCCTACTCTGATCTCTCCGGCTGTTAAAACCTGGAGTTGGAAACAGAAAAACTAAAGTTGTGCTGCACATTACTGAAATCATTATGAGTAACGTTTCTTTCAATCCTGGAGATAGTCTTGGTAAAATGTATCCAGGAAGGAAAATGAAAGGATTTTTGTTCTTGTACTTTTCTTTACCTCCAGTTCAAAGTACCATTTCCCGGCATTAACACAGTAGGTTTTTTCAGCTCTGAAGATGCGAAACCTCTCAGCCGACGTGTTGCTGACATCAGACTGCGCAGCTGCATAACATGAAAGAGAGAGGGAGGACACCATGCTTTCTCTGCCTACAGCATGACTTTAACTTTAATCAAATGAGCTGAGAACATACCATGGTCCTGGTCAGGAGCCTCCAGGTTGTATCCATATCCCAGCAGTGTCCTGACAGCCTCTCTCAGACTGTCCTTGTTGGACTTTTTAGTCCTCTCATCAAGCAGACCGTAAGGGACCAGACGGGGGTTTCTGCGGTTCTTCACATCCTGGTTGGAAACACGGAAGAATGATCCTGCTCTCGTGGAATTGTTTTCATCTCGTCTTTCTACAGGAACCTTTGTCATGGTAGTAGCAGGACTTCATCTTGTTTCTGAAATGAACTGTAGAGACTGCAGGCTTTGGGATGAATACAGCTTCACAGGTTTTTAATGAATTGGCCCGCCTCCTGATGTGCTTTAGGTTGGGAGGGAATGACCTCAGTGGCGTTGTGACACGGTCAGCAGCTGTTACCCTTTATAGATGAGTGTCTATTGGTGCCGTACACACGTGTAATCATTAGTGTGGCAGTGAGGGATTTATCTCCTCACTAATAGTTATGTCTCTTGTTTCTGTTCGATCCTGTATTTCTGTGTGTGTTTTAGGTCAAATAAGCTTGGTAATCTACAAATTACTTTAAGTTAAGTTGATTTATTGGTGATCGTCCCTCCTTTCCATCCGAGGTCATTTGTTTAAGTGTTGCCATGGAAGCGCGCCCATAGGCAGCCATGATGTGGCTGGTGTGCTCGATCAGCTCTACTGAGGGAGAAACTAACTGACTGAAGAGAGGGGGGGGGGGGGAGGAGGTTATCTTGTGTTTATGTGTAGTTGTTGTTGTTGTTGTTATTGTTCTTTTGAGTTAAGGTAGGAGGTAAATATGTAAATAGATTGTTTGAAATATTTTGTTGAGATGTACTTTATTGATTGTAAGATTTCAAGCTAATTGTTTCCCCTGCCCGTGTCAGAATGGTTGGTTCTAAGGTAGCTTTAAAAGGGCCAGATGGATTTGGCACGGTTTTTGGTTGCTTGCTTGCTTGCTTGTTAAGGGGAACCCATGCCCCAATGTCATGGACTGTTTGCATTTAAAAAAAAGGATAAAAAGTCAGAGCTCTGCAACATCCTGGACTCTTGCTTTTCTTCTGTTGACAACCATCTGGTAACATCCTGTGTGAGTGACAAGGCAGAGGCTCTGTCTGGGCCAAAACCTTACAGCATCTTACTCTAAATGTAATATTTCAGCCCAAAACTGTAATTCGATCTCCATCTTCAGGTGAAAACTCTCCTCCACGTTGATTTAGTATCAGCCACAGCTGACGGCTGAGCTGAAAAACATGATGATGCCAGCAAACGACTACGTGGCTGCACTGCACTGGTTTCCAGGTGAGGCAGCCACACCTCCACCTGGCCGCCGTTTGAACAAGCTACCGCTAACCAAACACCTATGCTGGTAACGGTTTACACCTAGAAGGAGGAAGTGTAGCGGTGATGGCGCGAGCAGGAGGGGGAGGGATGGCTGGAGTGGAACTGACCGAGCGGATCAGCGAATCTGGTTGTTAAATGTTTTTCTGATGCTGCTGTGGCCGATGCTATTAGTTTTCTGTGTTCTAGCTGTGTTTTTTGTGATTAAAAAACATTCAGACAGTCTAGAAAAACCTTCAGGCAGCCCGCCTTGGTAAGTTATGGCCAAGGAAAACTAATATCTCACCTTCAGCTTACCTCATCACATTATTAAAGTAACAAGTTTTATTGTTTTTATGTCATTTCCTGTCATGTTTATGAATATTACTGCACATTATACAGATTTGTTTACTTTATTAATACTGAGGCACAAACTGTCAGTGCTCATTTATGTTATTTTGCATTTATTATTGTTATTAAACAGTTATAACTACAGATGTTTACTCGTACAAAGTGTGAGATGTGGGTGGAGTTAACGTTTGCTTTGCACAAGTTGAAAATTATTTCACTAGAAGAAAAATACTTGACTTTTTGTATTTTAGTCAACTAAAATAAGACTAAAATTAAAACATCTGTCTTGTCAAAATGAACACAGCCAAGGACCCAACAAAAGAATGAATGGGCTTTGGTCAAACCAGCTTCCCTCCAGTTACTGGATGACCCGTTGTACCTGCTGAGCCCATTGGTTTTTGTTTTGTGGTCTTTGGAGAACCAGTAATCAAAACCGGGCCTCCTGCGTGGGAGGCAAGAATGCCGTCATGCACCAGCTCTACACAGAAACCACACAATACATCATTTACATGGAGACCTCAGCTAACAGTGCAGGTAACATGCACTAGCAGCAGCGTTTCTAATGGCTCTGCTCACAGTGGGACGTGCTTGGACCCACCTCAGCTGGCTTGTCTCGATATAGAGCGGAAGCCGGCTCGACTCCAAGTCCCTCCTGGAGCTTCGAGCGCATTGACACCGACACCTTGCACTTGAAACTCATTTTGGTAGCTTGTATAGAGCTCCGGACGTCACGTGACTCTCAGAGAGTAGACGCCATGTTGGCAGGCAACAAAGGTAAACAACATGAACGGGAACGGCTTGGATTTTACTTCGTCGGAGTTTACTTCACACTTTAAAACCGAAGAAATCGTTTTATATAGTCAGAAATTAAATAGACTAAACATCTCCGACCCTTACCGTGCCCCTGGGATACTTTTTAAAAACGCCAGAAGCTGTCGGAGCGGACCTGGCCGGGGAACCCCTTGGGATTCCCCCGGAGGAGCTGGCCCAAGTGGCTGGGGAGAGGGAAGTCTGGGCCTCTCGACTTAGGCTGCTGCCCCCGTAACCCGACTCCGGATGAGCGGATGAAAACGGATGGATGGATGGACAAATAACAGATTTACATGTAAGTAGTTTAAATAGAGTGCTGTGCTGTTTGAATGTATAAACTGAACGCCAAGAGAAATCACTAGTCTGATTTTTTTCCGTAAATAAAATAAATATGTCAGGCAGGAGCGTCTCAGGATCTGTCTGAGATCTGTCTCGGTGAGACAGATAATAGCAATCCAAAGTGCTTTTTATGTGTGATCTGACGATTGATCAACCATTGCTTAAAAATTAAATACAGCTTAGCCGGTTAATTGCTGTGATCATAAAACACGTAAACAGCAGCACGCAGAACTCACGAGGCAACGTTTTACGTGACGTTTACTTGCTGCTATGAGTAATAAGACAGAAAAAGCCACGCCAAAATAAGTTTAGGAAGCCCACTAAGAATCGTAATAAAAGCATTTAAAATAAATACCATACACAGTTGAGGAAACGTTGGTTTAAGTACCTGATATGAAGCGGTCGCTGCATAAGCGAAAACATTTACTCTCGGGATCCCACAGCTTCATTTTAGCCCGGTCACTAGCGCGTTTTATTACAATGACCCAACGTTTGCGGCGCTCCGGATCTTGGGGAATCCTGTAGATGGCTCATTCCTTATGTCGTCCGAGTCTGTTCTGCATCCTGGGGCACAACAGGAATCTACCATATTTCCCGTTTGAGTTTTCTGACAATAACAAATAGTCCAGCTGCCGGCTTCTACCTGCCAAGATGGCGCCGTTTCAATTTGAACTGTTGCATGCCGGGAGAAGTGACGTCAACTCGCAGAGCTCTATTCCTGATCTTGTTCTTTTAGTCAATGCCTGAAGCTCATGAGGATAGATAAGGACTGGAATAGAGATTAAACAGGTAAACCAAGAGTTTCTCTTTCTGGCTTAGCTCCTTGTTCACAATAACGGACCAGTTCAGCACTCGCATCGCTACAGAACCTCCCCCTCATCCACCGGTCTCATTTGTGCTGAAATAGCAGCACAATACTAATTTATAGAGTATCATTCACATACATCTCCGACAAGCCTTTTTAAGAGCTGATCCATGTTTAAATGAACTCTCCCTACATTCGTGTTCCAGCTACAAACCGCATGGTCCCAGTGGTGAGTTGTAAACTCTTCCAGTCAGTCTCGCACCTGTAGGATGCCGTACGTCCAGCCCTGCCGGATACGATCTCTTGCCCAGACATTGTGTGCGTTCTCAGCTAGTTTGTCCACCATGGCCTCCTGGGTGGGGGTCAGCTTGATGTAACTCAGGTCCAACGGAGCAGGTTTGTAGCCGCTCAACAACTCATATCTGCACAGATTTGTTCAAAGTGATTAATCAGCTAAATGGGCTTGCAACGCTCCCTTCTGAGTGTTTAACTGTATTTAGTTTTATTTTTGTTAAAGGTAATTAACGAAAATAATCATGACATTACAAGTTGCCTTGGTCCACGTGGACCTCAAGGGATAAACCATCAACCTTGCTCAACGGTCACCTTTCCTGGAGGGGTCACCCGATAGGACAGTGGGAGGGTTAGGCCCAGTTCACACAGTCTGGATTTTAAATTTTTGGCCAATTTCCAAAGAGTGAGACAGTAAATACATAAAATCATAAATGCACCAGTTTTTGCCATACAGTGCATGGTGTGCCATTACCCGGGAAATAATTCACACACTGCTGGTGGAGATCGCAGGGGCGGTGGCGCCAGTGTTCAGCAGCCTTGCCCCTGTCAGTGCGCCCCAGGCAGCTGTGGCTACATCGTAGCTCATCACCACCAGCGTGTGAGTGTGTGAATGACTGTGTTGTGAAGCACCTTGGGGGGTTTTAGAACCCTAAGAAGGTGCTAAAGAAATACAGGCCAAACTGATTTGACACCTGGAAGATCAAACGTGACTCTGGAATATACCGGCTAAGACTATCCAACATGTTTGAAAGGCTGGATTTATGATCAAGAGTGGCCCCACTGTCCTTAGCGTAGAATAAACCTTTATTATCCCACAAATGAGAAACGTGTTACACAGCTCCTATAGCAAAGGAAATACAGAAGACACAAAAAAATCAAACCAAACTAAATGTGCATGTATAAAAACCCTAACCCTAACCCGTACTACAAATCTGCAAATCAGCATGCTGTTAACACCCCACAAAAGGTAGGATAATAAGATCTTTAGAGCAGTTACGGTAGTCGTGTGTGTTAGAGCTATTTAGGTTAGTCACAGTTGTTGGGTTATTTATTGGGTCTAGTTGTTGGTTAATGATGAATTTATTTATTTATTTATTTTAGTTTTGTCTGTGAGAATCAGCCAGGAAGAAAAGAGGTGTGTTGTTTTTTATAAATATGGGGACTGGTGTTGGACCAGCATGCACTGGGGTGGGCATATGGTTTTTTACTTTATGTAGTGGCTTTTCCTTTGTTTGTCAACTCACTTCATATTTTCCAGTTTAAAAGCCACTGTTGCACTGTGGTAACGTTTTGTTTTGTGTGCAGAGCAGATGTCTGTGTTTTATCACTTGCCAACCTGGAAAATAAACCATGAAGAAAACGCAGCTTTCCAGTTTGGACATTGAACTTCTTCTGCCTGCGTACGAAACGTTACCACAGTGCAACAGTGGCTGTTAAATTGGAAAATATGAAGTGAGTTGACAAACAAAGGAACTGCCACTACAGTGTGCACTCTTAAGTTTGTAAGAAGGATTGTGGTTGTGACTCACGTTGGTGACAGCTTCAAGCTCTTCACTTTATTTACTGCGTGTTCATCTGCTAGTCCAACATGGCAACCCAAAGCCAGGAGAGTCCTGTAACAGACACAGTGCACAAAGGAGCATTTGATTGTGCAAAGATCACAGAGTTGCAGTCAGTACTCAGTCCCACCCATCACATCCGACTGCACCGATAGTTACTTGAGAGTCTCCAGGGACATCTGTAAGTTGTAGCTTCGTTCCTGTTCAGGAAGCCTGGGAAACTCCACTAAACACGGGTGCTGCCGCTTGTTATCATCTCTCACCTGTCACACACGCGCACACACACACACACACACACACACACACACACACACACACACACACCACACACACACACACACACACACACACACACACACACACACACACACACACACACACACACACACACACACACACACACACACACACACACACACACACACACACACACACACACACACACAATTCCATTCGATCAAAGAGAATAATTCATGATTTCCTGTAATAAAATATCACCTTTGGAGCTCATTTGTTGTGTATTGTGACCTCCCAACATGTCAGAAAGATGTGAACAGTGTCTACTGAAAAAATCCTCTTTTTTGAGCTTTTGTATGGACCATGTTATAGTGTGATTTCATGATCCAAACAACAGCCAAAGCAAGTTTTGGCTCCTTGCAGCCCTTCTGCTATTTCAACTGCAGCTCTTTAGAAAGTCTGCTAAGCCGTTGCAACCGGCAGGATGAAACAGGTTTGCGTCATCATGCAGTACTCCTTACAGTCCAGGTAGAGTTGAATTCTCCTTACAATCCAGGGGCCTCGTTTATAAAGCTTAAAACGGGGTCGGAAAACTGCGTAAGCAGCTTTCCACGCAAATTTTGAGATTTGTTAAAAACATAGCGGAAAAATGTACGCAACTTTAAGTTGACTAAGGCAACACATTCTCACACCCAAGGCGTCAAAATATGACGTGTGTGACCAAGCCTCAACATGTGACGGTTCGGGACGCCCCAGCGCGTCAGGAGACGACGATCAGGGACACGCAGGGTCACGTGGCTCCGCTGGCGTCACTGTTTGACGCGTGTGGTCACACGGACATTATTGGACTATTTAACCTTCCCCTCACCCCAATCCTAACCTTAAGGTCACAGTTTATGGACCTTAAGGTTAGGATTGCATCTGTGACAGTGTGTGTCCTGTCACTGTGACCCAATTGATCATGCGCCCTGGCTACTTGTACATGGGAGATCTCCGTTTGGCTGACTGGTTAGCACACGTGACTCTCAACCGGTAGTTTGGGGATCGAATCCCGATTGAGCCATTTTTTTTAGATCTGCCACAGATCTCTCTGAAGAAATCAGCATTGACGGCTTCAGCAACGCTGTTCCACTCCGTTGATTTTCTCTTATTTGTTTTGCAAAATCACTTCCTTTCATTTCTCCACCTCACCCACAGGTACCTCAACTTCTGCTTGTGAAATAGCGCTTCCTTGATCTGCCTTGAACTACGGTCGCCGGTCGCCATGTCATTGGTGGAGTGCTGCAACAGCCGGCTTATGTATATGCATGAGATCCACAAGGCACTTTGCATTGACCATTTATGGCAGAAAGTGGGCATGTTGAGGGTGGGATGTGACTAAAAAGCAGATGAGAACCTTTCTAGATAGTTTCTGATTTATGAAGCGGAGATTGCGTGCAGCTGTGTGTACTCCATGTTTTACAGGTCACAAATTTACTTGGTATAAGTACATTTTTTTACGGTTTTAGTAAGGATTCTACGCAATGTTTTATAAATGAGACCCCTGGTAGTGTTGAATCCTCCTCTTCTGGACTATAAACACTATTGTTATTACGGAAGTCCACCAGCAGGGCTGAAATATCTGAGGACAGGTTTGTTTTCAGCGCCTGTGTGTCACACTTGATAAATATGAGATTCTCCGCAAGTGCCGCCGACAGCTCCCATCTGAACATTATTAAAATGTCCCCACGGATCTCTGACAAGAGACCAACCACGATCGCACCATGAGGCGAAGATGCAGTCGAAGCAGCAGGCTGCACCAGCACTTTTACCAACATCAAACTTTGATAAATGCGGATTTCTTTGGGGTTTCTTTTCTGGCCCTCCCCGTTGCAGAAAGAGTTTCATTAGTGCCATTTAGGGTTCCAACTTAGTAGGCTTAGATTCAACAAACTGCCCGATTCAACAATGGCAGAAGCCTTCTGCAGATGCACACGTCTCCTTTCTACGGATACAAAGTCGTCAATGAGGTCATCTGCTGTGCTGCTTCTGAACTCTGCAGATGAATACTCAGGCAGATTTAGGCCAATATGTATGGACGTTTTCCTACAGGACGTCCACAGGATGCTGAAGAAGCCCTGCAGAGTTGTTTTGAGACCACAGATTGGATGACTCTCTGTCAAGGATATGAAGAGGACATCAATGCCATGACTGGATGTGTCACTGACTATATAAACTTCTGTGTGGATAATATAATACCCACCAGAACAGTGAGATGCTTCGCTAATAACAAACCCTGGATCACCAGTGAACTGAAGAATCTGCTAAATGAGAAAAAAAGAGCCTTCAAGGAGGGAGACAGGGAATTACTGAGGAGTATACAGAAGCAACTGAAGATCAAGATCAGAGACAGCAAGGAGGCATACAGGAAGAAGCTGGAGAACAACCTACAGAGGAACAATATCAGAGATGTCTGGTCAGGTAAGAAGAAGATCACAGGCTTCAAGCAGAGGAAGGATTGCACAGATGGCAGCCTGGACACAGCCAATGAACTGAACAAGTTCTTCAATAGGTTCAGTTCAGGAACAAACCCAGCATCCTCCTTGCCTGTCCCCAGCCAGTCAGACATCCCATCCTCCTCTGATCAAACATTTTCCTGTCACAAGCCAGCTCTTTTGTCCTCTAACACAGTCATGGACTCTTCTGGTTCTATAAATCTGTCTTCAACCAAGTCAGGAGATGCTGCTGCCCCATTTACCTCCCCCTCCCACCTATCTGTCTCTAGAAGTCAGGTGAAGAGGCAGCTGGAGAGACTGAACAGGAACAAGGCTGCAGGTCCAGATGGTGTCAGCCCCAGAGTACTGAAGGCCTGTGCAGAGCAGCTCTGTGGGATTCTGCAGCACCTCTTCAACCTCAGCCTGGCCCAGGAGAAGGTTCCAGTCCTGTGGAAGACATCCTGCCTTGTTCCAGTTCCAAAGAAAACTCGCCCATCAGTCAATGATGACTACAGACCGGTTGCCCTGACATCCCACATCATGAAGGTCCTGCAGAGACTCCTGTTGGTCCACCGAATAAGCAAACTAGGACATATCAGGACCCGCTGCAGTTTGCTTATTGCCATGGAGTTGGAGTTGAAGATGCCATCATCCAGTTGCTTCAACCAATCCACTGTCATCTGGACAAAGCAGGCAGCACTGTGAGGGTCATGTTCTTTGATTTCTCCAGTGCATTTAACACAATCCAGCCTGATGTACTTTGCCAGAAACTCCAGAAGACACAGGTGGGGACCTCAACTATCACCTGGATTAAAGACTACCTGACAAACAGACCACAGTTTGTGAGGCTGAAGAACTGCACATCAAACCAGGCGATCAGTAACATTGGAGCACCGCAGGGGACTGTACTCTCACCATTCCTTTTCACCCTGTACACCTCAGACTTCCAGTACAAATCAGAGACCTGTCATCCACAGAAATACTCAGATGACTCTGCAGTAGTTGGGTGTATCAGAGATGGACAGGAAGCTGAGCACAGAGAGCTGGTGGAGCGCTTTGTGGCATGGTGTGGAAACAATCATCTGACCTTGAACGTGAACAAAACAAAGGAGATGATTTTAGACTTCAGAAGAAACAGGGTGGAGTCAAACACTGTTTCCATCATGGGAGAAGAAGTGGAGGTGGTTGAGGAATACAAACACCTTGGAATTCACCTGGACAACAGACTGGACTGGAGAAAGAACAGCAAAGCCGTTTCCAAGAAGGGACACAGCAGACTGCACTTCTTGAGGACGCTTAGGTCCTTCAATGTCTGTAGCAAGATGCTGCAGATCTTCTACAAGTCTGTTGTTGAGAGTGTAATCTCTTCAGCCATCGTCTGTTGGGGTAGCAGCATCAGAAGCAGGGACCTGAAAAGGCTCAACAGCCTAATAAAAAAGGCTGGTTCTGTTCTGGGGACGACTGTGGAACCGCTGGAGGAGATCATGCAAAGAAGGATTCTCCAGAGAATCAAGAAAATGATGGACAACCCTGAGCATTCTCTTCACAAGACTGTCCGACAACGGAAGAGTGTCTTCAGTCAGAGGCTTCTTCAGTTTGGCTGCAACACTGACCGCTACTGGAGATCCTTCCTGCCAACAGCCATTGTAATATACAACAACTCTTTGATGACTTGATTATTATTATTATTCTGAGCTACTACAGCAATCAATTTCCCTCTGGGATTAATAAAGTATTTTTGAATTTGAATTGAATTTGAATTGAATATTATTTATGTATACACACAAATAATAATAATACTATTGATAAGATGGATTGGAAGGCTGTGAACCAAGACAACATAAGACAGAGGTGAAGGTTTATGCGTACCTGATAAATGATAATCAGGTTGCCGTAAAATCTGATCTCCAGTCCACATCCAGACAGATTTATCTTCTCTTTTCTCTCATGATTAGCAGCAGCTGGGATGTTTATGACCACAGAGTTGTTGTTCTTTTAATAACATGCCTACTTTAAAATGAAGCACGTTCCTCTTTCCTGCGTTTGCTCACGGCCTATATTTTTGTTTGGATGCTATCTATCCCAGCTCCACGGATCCACCTGCCTGTCTGCACATGTAGCCACCGGTTGGTCAGATGCTGCTGCTGTCATTCATCACAGGAACATGCACGGTGTCTGATAACTCGTCTCTTTGTTTCTCTGCTCTGCCTGGGCTGAAGTTGCCTCCCCTACAGCGCCCCTGATGCACAAAACGCAGCCCCTCGTGGAAGGGACTCCAGCATATCGGGAGGGATGGCAGTGGGGGGATGTGACTGGCTGGTGGTTGAGGATGGAGAGATTTTTTTTTCAGAAATCTCTGAGAGTTCGACGAATAAATGACCAGAAAAACTCTAAATTAGAAATGGCTGTACCGGCCCTCTTAAAGCACTGGGTGGGAGGCTGAACGCTGCAGAAGCCTGCTCAAACCCATGTTGGGGATCTCCGACGAGTGGAGGTGAAAGGCCGACACCGGCCATTCTGGGATTCTCCAGAACTCGCAGGTTGCCGGTCGGACTCTGGGCACACCTGTGGTGTAACAATCAGCAATTGAGCTTATGGAAAGTCATTGTTGCATACAAGGACTTTTAAGACCTCTACTAAAAAGACAGAGCGTTGGTTCATGTGATTTAGAGAAAATTTGAGTACAGATTTATTTGTCGGCTCAATCAATGTGAAAATGTAAATATTAAAAGGTTGACTAGCATCAAAGTGGTGCCATCCAGTAGGGATGTCCACATCCGATCACATGATTGGTCCTGTTTACATGGTCTCAGACTTGATCGGGATCGGGCATTACTTTCCGATCCGGACTCGGATACTGGGCTCAAATTACAGGAGAACTAAGAGGAACCCAGTTCTCCTGACAGGGTGACGGGCTCCCATAGAAGCCCTTAACTTACATAGCCAGAGGAGGCAGATAAAAGATCCTGTTTCTACTTATATTATATTATTTATATCATTAATTATATCTCCTCATAGTGGGGATTGTTCAGAGCAGAGAGCGGCAGCGCTGATTATTCAGGCGCTCCAGGCAGCTGCTTCCTGCACACGGCCACGGCGACATTCTCAAAGTGGCGCCACCCAAACAATATACAATATATAAATAATATAATACATAATAAATACTATATACACACGATCCCTCATGTCCGTTCATATTCTCTCTGGTAACTTCCATCTTTTATTCGTGTCTGACGTGCTCCGCTGCAGCGAAGCTCATCCCCCGCTCCCGTGACCCACATCACTGGTGCGGCTGTGTGGCGCAACCCTCACTACTTCTGCGACCCGTAGATGCCTTTGATCTGCTTACTTAAAAGTAACTCAGTGGGAGAAAAAGAAGGAAGCCAGGCAGCAATTTTTCTGGTGGACTGAGAGGAGATGCAGGAAGACCAGAGACAGACATGACAGGAAAATAAAAACAAGAAAACAAGACAAAGTTCTTGAAAAAATGAAATGCTGGTAGATTTATCCCACTGCACGTTTTTACCTTGATAAAGCAATCATTTAAAAGTATTTAATATTTGATACAATCCAGATGACCTTCAAAACTTTGTCCCACACCCAGGGCCGTATCAAAACATTTTGGGGGCCAAGGCAAAATAGACCCCTGCCAGGTGTTTTGAGTTAAGGCGCTATTTTTGTTTATATTCAACTTATTTTGTATTTGCACTAAAGTCCAAAAGTGAAGAATTTGTTATTTATTACTTGATTGTTCAAGCTACCTCACAGAAGTGACCCGTTTGTTAACAGAGTTGTTAAATCTTAAAATGAAGGTGATTAAATAAAAAATAAGCAACATTCTGGATCTGTTTGTTCACTTTCTATATTTTGTTGTATCTAAAGTATCGGAGTGGGACTGTGTATCGGCATATTCTCTAAAACAAATGACTCGGACTCGACTCGGACTCGACTCGAACTCGACTCGGACTCGAGGGCAACAAAACCTGATTGGGACCCATTTACCACCCACTACCTGTCAGTATTGTGGCATTCCTGTTTCAGTTGTTTGCTCTGAACTTGTTTTTTTGTGTCGTCTGATAAATTATTTTTAAATTGGACTCAATGGCTGTTAATGAAGTTTGATGATGATGATGATGATGATGATGAAGGTTTATCCTTCTTATAAATATAAAAAAAAACCAAGATGAGGGCCAATAATGTCTGTTGGGTGAGACATTTACCGTGTATCACTGCACTTTTGAACTAAAGGGTGAGGGAACTAACTTATCGTTTAAAAGAGTTTGTCTCTCACTGCATACTCACTGCACCGTAAGTCCATCCCAGCTCTATCTTGTTCATCACCCACAGCTCATGAATGTTTTCGGCTAGTTTTTCCCTGATTCTCTCCAAGTGGGGAGGCAAAACAATCTGAAATAATTCATGAGCAAAATCAGTTTCAACGTTATGTATCACTTTTCATCTTAACATGTTCGCTCATGGGTTTCTCTGTTTATACCTGGCTGGTGTCCACAGGTGTGGGAGTGAAGGCTGCCTGGCTCAAGGTGAAGGTTGGACCAAGCAGGTCTCTGGCTGCAGTCTGGTCCTGACTGGCCTCCAGCTTTAGTTTCTCTCTGGGCAACACAGCCTCATAGCAGGGAGCATAACCTGCAGGGGGCAGGAATTTGAATTCCCCGTGACGACCTCCGAGGAGAAAACGTACTCTGTAGGAGACGAGGTAGAACCATCACATGGTATCACATCAGAAGTGCAAGTGGACGAGGAAAACATGTCTAATCACTAACTTGACCCCTGAAGAGAAGCTGGTCACAGGGAAGAAAAGCCCATCAGAGTTGAAGTTCTCAAACATTCCCTGAACTGGCTGGCCGTTGATCCTGAAGGAGATACTGGGAACGCTGAGGTCCAGGCAGCAGCTAATCACATCCTCGGATCGCAGAAGGTGCTGATTGGGTGAGCTGACAGTCCTTGCAATGCAACCTGCATGTGATTGGAGTAGGGACATTTTCAAATCGTATAGTAAAATGGTCAATGGGCTGTATTTCTATAGCACCTTCTTATGGTCCTACAACCCCCCAAGGCGCTTCACAACACAGTCATTCACCCATTCACACACACATTCACACATTGGTGGAGATGAGCTAGAATGTGGCCACAGCTGCTCTGGGGCACACTGACGGAGGCGAGGCTGCCGAGCACAGGCGCCACCAGTCTATCCGACCACCTCCAACAGGCAAGGCAGGTAAAGTGTCTTACCTGAGGACACAACGGCAGCATTCTCCGGAGCTGGGATCGAACCTGCAACCTTAAAATGCCTGGACAACCTTCTCCCCCTCCTGAGCTACTTATAGCTTTATAAAAGTGACCTTATAAAAATAGTCTTTGAAAGAAAACAGGAGCAATATTAGGCTACTGGCCATCGACTCTAGAAGTTTTTAATGTTCAGAGAATTATACTCGACCACCCACCAGGGGTCATTGTAACATAATCAGTTTTTTTCTACAGTACTTCTTTGTCATACTGTTATCGTCGTCGTCTTCCTCCGCTTATCCGGGTCCGGGTCACGGGGAAAGCATCCCAACTAGGGAGCTCCAAACCGTCCTCTCCCCGGCTACCTCCACCAGCTCCTCCGGCAGGACCCCAAGGCGTTCCCGGACCAGATTGGAGATGTAACCTCTCCAACGTGTCCTGGGTCGACCCGGGGGCCTCCTGCCGGCAGGACATGCCCGAAACACCTCCCCGGGGAGGCATCCAGGAGGCATCCTGACCAGATGCCCAAACCACCTCAACTGACTCCTTTCGATCCAGAGGAGCAGCGGTTCTACTCCGAGTCCCTCCCGAATGTCCGAGCTCCTCACCCTATCTCTAAGGCTGAGCCCGGCCACCCTACGGAGGAAACTCATTCGGCCGCTTGTATCCGCGATCTCGTTCTTTCGGTCATTACCCAAAGCTCATGACCATAGGTGAGGATTGGGATGTAGATCGACCGGTAAATCGAGAGCCTGGCTTTCTGGCTCAGCTCCCTCTTCACCACGACAGATCTGCTCAGCGTCCGCATCACTGAAGACGCCGAACCCATCCGCCTGTCGATCTCCCGATCCCTCCTACCCTCACTCGTGAACAAGACCCCGAGATACTTAAACTCCTCCACTTGAAGTAGGACCTCTCCCCCGACCCGGAGTTGGCAAGCCCCCCTTTTCCGGTTGAGAACCATGGTCTCAGATTTGGAGGTGCTGATCCTCATCCCAGCCGCTTCACATTCGGCCGCGAACCTACCCAGCAAGAGCTGAAGGTCAGAGCTGGATGAAGCTAGGAGGACCACATCATCCGCAAAAAGCAGAGACGAGATTCTCCTGCCACCAAACCTGACACACTCCACACCACGGCTGCGCCTAGAAATTCTGTCCAAAAGGTAATGAACAGAACCGGTGACAAAGGGCAGCCCTGGCGGAGTCCAACCCTCACCGGGAACAGGTCCGACTTACTACCGGCTATGCGGACCAAACTCCATACTGTTATGGTTAATTGAACTTTACAGTTTACATACACACACACTCATTTCAAATCAAGGTTTTAATGATACAAACCAAAGCTCACTACCAACTGACTACTCAGTTTATTTCATAGATGGATCCCCAGTGCTAACAGTTAAAGAGTTTAAATTTGTACGTCTTTTGCTAGATCCTCAATTGTCATTTCAATCACATATTGACTCAATTTTCATGAAAGTATCACATTGTTTACTCTGCAGGACCGAAAATTAACCATTGCCAAGTTAATACTCCCGATGCTTAACTATGCCTAAATAGTCTACCGCAGGGGTCACCAACACGTCGCGGTTGTTGCGACACGCTTGAACGTTGCTCTCCTGGAAGCAGCCAGCGAGCCATACTGAGTTGTATTAACAAGGGGCGGATTTTTTATTTGTTGTCAAGGCTGTCCCTGTGTTCTGTAACATCTAATCTAAAATCAGCATTTTGTGGAAGTAAAATAAAAATCGGATTGATGCACAAATCTCTCGACAAACATGTCTTACTGGAAATATGTGGGTTAAGTGATCAGTCAACTTAGATCTCAGCAGCTGCAGCTGGGGCAGGTAGATGAAGATGTCGGTTACACGGGAGTTTCAGAAAAACGTCACCGGTAAAATTATCTGAGGTTACAGCTCGTTAACACAAATTAAATGCTGTTTGTTTATGAAAACATGACGAACACAGGCTTCCAATCTCTGGACATTTCTTGTGACTTTGTTATAACCAAGCTCCTAATGCTGATACGAACATGAAGCCAACACGACAGTGATAAAAATCGCAGTTCCACTTCCTCCACTAGGGGCCGGCTCCAGAAGTGAGCAAATCCTCATCGACTACCATGTTAAAAACACCAAATTCTCAGCAGAAATAAACATGCTTACAGCCTGGTACTAAAACATTGTAGGTTTTACACTCGTGACAACTCTGAGTGGGGTGAATTTTTTTTGTAAATCTTCCGTTTAAGTGGAATGAGATGCTTAAAACTCTGAATAATTAATGAGCATCAGAGCCACGTGACTTCAGCGCTCTGGAGAAAGATGTTAATAGATGTTTGGTCATTTCGACTCTCTGAACTTTAGTTTTGTCCTCTGTGCGTTCGTGTTTGATGTTAATCAAGAAATTATTTGGACACAGAGGGCAAGCTGTGGTTACTGTAACGTACCAAAAGGGTCCATTTTCACCACCTACATTTACCAACATAATAACCTTTCATCTGCAGAAATACATCCACTTTCTATTTGGCCTGGCCAGAACCCAGAAGGTTCTGCTCAGTGTGTGTTTACATACATGAAGTCATAATAAACTGTCAAGGTCCTGCGCTCTCTCTGAATAAGTGAAGACTCATGATTTTATAGTTACAAGTTAAGTAATCACATGTGATGAATGAACAAGATGTTAAAATGAAATGTTTGAATAATCTGTGCTTAAATCAATGAATTTGAAATGAATATTGTTCTTACAATGATCCATTTATATCAAAAATCCCTGTGTGTTCTATTCAACAAGTTAATCATCATCTACATTCATACACATTACATTAAGATACTCATTAAGGTAATAATAGGGTTAGGGTTAGAGGGTATGATCCCACTGGGATTAATAAAGTATTTTTGAATTTGAATTGAACATTCACCTCACATAAGAGTTTTAAGACATTCTCCTTCACAGTGTTAAAAACATCTTTGTATCTGAAGAGGGCGTGGCTTTCTGAGGGATGTTGGTAAAGACTCAGAAACGAGTCAAATTCTGATTGGCCAAACTTGGCCAGAAATCATAACAAAGTAGTTTAATAAAACAAGAATTGCTTCCTGATTTATTCAGTTTCCAGCTGATTTCCGATTCGGCCAAATCGGGAAAGAAGCCTCTTTTAAAACAATCTCCTTTGACCTCCTGTCAAAGCCTCTCTGCAATGCTGCAGCTGATAAAGCCAGACGGCTCCTTAAGAGCCACACTTGCACTTTTGACACAAACAAGCATTCCAGCTCCTGTTGTGACTCACAGACATCTCAAGACCGGACGGGTCGTATCGGGGTTAATCTATGGCTTCGGATACAATGAGGTCACCCGGCTTCTGACAGTCCTGGATCTGCACTGGGGGTCAACACACGGGTATTGTAGACATGACAGATTGCGTCTAAAGCTGTTTTAATCAATAACCAACTCTCTAGTTTAGAACCAAACAACAAATTCTTTTACACACAGGTTTCACAATTTCGGTTGCTACAACATCTAGCTTCCATCACAACACCTCACATCCAGCAGACCACATCTCATTATTCATATCTTGTCATGTATAAATTATTAGTTTAGGAAAAAGAATAAAATGTATTTGATAAACTATATACTGACTCTGTCTGAGTTATTACGATGTGTGTTTATGGTCCCTGAATAAGCAAAGAACACTAGAATCTTCTGAATAAACATTCAAAGATCCGTCAGAATGATATTTCACAATTATATGGTATCATCGCATCTTACTGATCATAAATAACAAATGTATTCCACTTCACTTAATGGCGAGCCAGCCAGGAGCCAAACCGAGAATGTTTACAGATCATCCAAGTAGTTTTTCCTATTTTGTTTATCAGTAAGTAAAGTTATATTTCTTTACTTTATTTGGCTGGTTGAATAGGGGAAATGCATTTAACTGCTTGGTCAGTCATGTTAGTGGGGCTGCATTAGAACCTTGAGCGGATGCCCAGCTTCTCCTGTCTCCTGCCTGGCAACAGTTGCTAGAGCAGGTGGCTGGCTGGTCCCGTTTCCTGAGATGCGAGGCTGGTCATTGGTGGATCTCTGAGAGAGACCACAGAAACACCGCAGCTCTTTTAGTTGACACTGATTCATTTTTGAGTCGCTCAACCGCATTTTTCTCTCTAATATGTTGCTGGTTAAATGGAGTAAATTTCTATGTATTTACCATAACACTGCTTGGTCTAAGATGGGTTGAAATTTGACGTGTAGGTGTGGCTTCTGGGTAAATAAAAAACCAGATTGCTACTACATTGCTGACTGAGGATAGCGGAGGCTATCAGGCTTTGCTGTTGCACCGCGGTCAAAGATTTGCAAGTCTGTTGTCGTTGACTGTCCCGGTGTTGCTCTCAGCTTCGTTTGACACAGAAGACTTCTCAAATGTTAACTTTAGACGTGGGTCTCCTTCGGCCGGTAATCCATGTTTACAAACAGCATACACAGCGTGTCGCCGGCTCACCAGCCATGGCGATTAGCTGGTGGCTAAAAGTCAGCCTTGTTTACTTGATCACCACGGTGTGTCCCCAGCTCGCTAACCCTCCTTTGCCTGCGATGGCGCCACCAGTGATCGCTTCATAAAAGATCATTTTCTTTTGTTCCATGTCCATGTAGATGTAAAAACATCACAAGCACAACATTATTACATTACATCATTTTCCCATAAAAGTCTATCCCAAATGTTGTGAAGCTAACCTGAAG